TTGCATGTTCTGTTGTCCACACCGTACTGTAACTTAGATTTCTATGTTTTTCTAGTTCTGCAATGTAATGCTACATGAGGTACAAGTCTTCAGGAATTAACTACATTTCTTGTTCTCACGATGTTGTTATGCACAAGTACACTATTTGAAACACCTGAAAGCATTTCACAGTCGTGAGAGTACAGGATTGGTAACGTAAAAAAAAAAAAAAAGAAAAAAAGAAAAAAACCTGAGTGAGAGCCTGTGACAGCACCCTCTCTGATTTTAAGAAATGTTTCCTGCCTAGAGGCAGCTACATACTGAAGGGAATAAGAGTGCTCTGGCTCGCGCGACGAACTACAAATCAGTATCCATGTGTTAAAAAGTAATGATGTATTTGACTTTAGAATAGATGAGAAAAAAATTCAGCATTGCTGGGACGAATATATGTGAAGCAACTTCCTGATGTACTAACCTCTACTTTTTAAGGATTAAAGAATTTTTATAAAAATAGAACTAGTGGACTATTTAACACTGAATACACTTCTTAAAATTAAACTTCATATAACTGCTTCTATGGAAAAGCTGTTAATGAAAGTATATAATTGTTAATTAGCATTTATGCCCTGGTATTGTTCGAAACCAGACAAAACATACATGTAGTTAACTGATAGCTTATAAAAGGGATATGAAGAAGCGATAAAGATAATACCCAGAGCTCATCCTTATGCAGCTGTGACATTGGACTTTCTCACAAAGTTTTCCCTCATGAAAGTAAAAGAAATAGTCAATGCAGGAGCAGAGTGCTGATGCTGAAATTTCAGCTTCACTCAAGAGCGTGGCAAAAGTCAAGGATTTCAGCCTAAAAGATGCCAACAGATGAAAAACGAATCTTCTTCCTCATTACAAGTGTGGAAAGAATGGTATCCTGGCTGGATTTTCAGAATCTGAAAACACTTATTTGCATAAGGATGGGAGATGCCTACTCATAACAAAGATAATGATGGTGGAAAAGTTTAAAGGAACATCTTTTCAGTAAAAAAAGGAGGAGCAATTGTTAATGCCATTTTTCATTTTAAAAGTAATATTTTACTAGCATAAACCTTTTCTTTTTATTATTAATTTCTAACCTAAAGGAAATAATAGAGTATAAAGCTCTCTAGTAAGTTATCTCATGGCAAAGTGATGACAATACGTTTCTCATCATCAACTGATGACAGCAACAAATGTGTACGTTTGTAGGCTCCTTTGAGCTCAGCAAGGACCATGAAGTGTCCCTTCAGTTCAGAGGTATGAAGAACTGCTGAAGTCAAACCTAGCTATACTGCACACAAAAAAGTTCCTAAATGAAGAATGAAACTGAATTAAGTCTGTGGCTCCAGGGGCTGACCCAGATGATCCTGCCAAAAAGAGACAGCTTGCTTCTTTCCAACCCCTCTCCCACCTGTTCATGGTCATGTGAAGTATTCCCTCCTCTACTTCAGCTCTATAAGTTGAGACACCTCTCTGCAATCACTAACAGAGTAGAAAATTGTCTGTGTGTTTCTGCTGGCTCAGGTTTTTTTCTTCTACTTTGGAAGTTCTAGCTTAGGAGGTTTTGACAAACACTGGAGCTGCAATAAAAACAGCATCACGGGCTTGCTTCTGGGAGCTGTGGGAAAATGGGAGAAAGAAGCCAGTTCTCTCCTCTTCAGCAGCAGTGAGCTGCTAGATCAGCTCTCCACATCTTTCCATCATACCCTCTAAATCAGTTGTATTGACTTTCTAGTCTGCAGGCTTGCTCTCAGGCACAATGACCTTAAGTGATGTCCCAAAAATAAGCAAACTGGCATGGCTCAACTGGAAAGAGAATCCTATTAAAAAAACTGAGTCAGTGCTGAGTCAGTAAAGAATCAAAAGATGCAAATGCAAAGTACTGATGCTGGAAGACTTTCAAATGAGACAAAACCCAGATACCTCCTGACTAGTTGTCATCACCAGTGACTCCCTGGGTTCCCTCATAGTAGAAGTTCTGTTAACACCAGCATCCTGATGATTTTCCAGTTTCTGGAAATTTTCAGCCTGTGCTCTGAGAACATTTTCTTTTACTTATCTTTTAAATGATTAATCTGTAGTGTTGCTGTACCCCTAAAAAAAGGGCATCTACTTTTCTTTATCTCTGAACATCAGGGAATTAGTGCACATTTCATTGTACCTGTCATGGGCACATCAATAAAAAGAAAAAGCCTGCACATATAGCCAGTGGTACAGTAGAACAACACAGGTTTTAATCAGCCTATTTACTTTGAAGTGGTGACTATACATTCAGATGACTTCTATAGATCACCACAAATGAATGTCAGTAAATTTCTTTACAGTACCATCTGGTCTTGTGTTCTTCTGCATGTCAGATTCTGTATCGAAAAATATTTTATAAACAGATTACAGAGTTTTTAAAGGCTTTTAACTGGTACCAATTTTCCTAGGGTGTACTATCTCCCTATTACAGAGCCAAGCTCTTTACTATTGTAAGACTATGTCTATCCTCTGGGGAAAATTACAATTAGATGCTCCTGGTGGTTGGTTCGCTTGTAACAATCTTAAGTTTGTGGTCCAGTATTAACTGTCTGGCCCACAGACTTGATGTTTTGCAGGGATATGCTTTTGCAATCTCATTAAAGTTTGTCCCAATTTGATCAAGCTTCAATTTTTTTGAAAATCAGCACTTTATCATTCTGAACAATATGTTGTAGATTTCAGTGGCAAACGATCACTAAATTTTTGCCCTCACTTGAGTGTGCTGTCATCCCTGATCCAAGTGGGCTGGTGCTTCAAAGAACAAGTAAGGATACCATAGTATAATGCTACAATAATCAGAAAGACATTTTTTAATAGCAGTTAGACCCACTGGCTTCAAAGTGACGGTAAAGATGACTATTTCTCCAGCAGCGTAATCACATCTCCCCTCCCCTCTTATCATTCAATGGCAGAAGAAGTAGCCACCTAATTCGCAGGCATGGCTAAAAGCAAACCAAGAGTCTGGGAAAGAACAAGATGGCTACAAAGAATCTGCTGAGAGTAGAGCTTTAAAGGCAGAAAATAAACTATAACAGACCTGGGAAAGGTGAATTCAGTGACAAGAAAGAACAAGAGGGCTGTGAGATACATTATCAGGTGAGGAGGAACACCAAGAACAGAGAAATGGTTGGAAAAAATAGAAGCACCTGGACTAGGACTTGCTGAAGAAGGTGGAGGTTAGATACTGAAGCTATTGGAGCAGTAGAGGACAAAGACACAAGAAACTGATTCTAACAAGAGAACAAAGCCTTAACAACAAACAGTACGAATAGTGAGTAGAGACTGATGGGAAAGATGGGTCAGACAACAACCTGGGACAGGGAACCTGGGACTAGTTGGCCAAGTAAATTTGGTGGCACCAGGGACAATAACAGAACTTAGACTAGTAGGGAGGATAAGATTAGGACTAGACCCATTGCAATAGAGTGCCCTTCACCACTGCAATCTGCAGGTGCTACAGCACACAAGTTGCAAATAATCACCCTTGGCAAACAAAGTATTTATGAAGGGCTAGGTGGTGACAGGATGGACAAGAAGTTATACTCCCTTAGGTGAGCACCGATTCACACTGGGGGTGCTGGGAAGCAAAATCCTTCCTACCTTCCAGTCACACATATGCATAAGGTGCAGAAGCTTGTCTGTCACAGCACTCCCAGTTAATATACAGAAAGGCTTGAAGAAAGAAATGTTTCCTGGGTCTTGATTCCTTCTCACTCCACATTATGGAGATATATCCCAGAAGAATGTATTGGAATACCATGAAGAATCCATTTCAGAGCTCCTCTTAGCACAAGGATCATTTCACACTGTCTGTATCTTCTGTTTGGTCAAAAGCTGGGAAAGCCCTGATGCCTTTCAGGCCAGCCAATCCACAGCTGTAGGCAGTCTGATCTGTGAGGTCTTAGATGGGGGAGGTCTGCATAGGAGGCTACATAAAGCAGAAACTTCTACGGTAACACTGGCATAGTTCCCTCACCCACAATAGGCAGTTCCTGGTATCTTCAGAAAAGAAAAAACAAACAAACAAACCCACAGAAATCAACTTCACCTTGAAACGGTACTTATGGCTATTCCTTTATTTTAACTTGTACATTTTTCTTCGGGCTTTTAGCATTTAACCTACAGAGTCTTATAGCATATAAGTAAATATATGTTTATGACTTATGAATCATGACATTTAATTTTCTTCATCAACATTATTAAGTGTTTGTTTATAATAATGGACCATAGCTTATCTCACTCTAGACAAATTTCATATTACAGAATGATTGCTCAGCTTGGGAAGGTGTATTTATTTGCATTTAATTCTCTTTTGAAGCAGTGAAATTCTGCCACCCTCTGGACAACAACTAAACTAAGACATATACAAAAGCAAAAAATCCTCCCACTGCTGATAAACATTCATTGCTTTTTAAGCACATTTTAGAATTAATTACTAGGCTGAATGAGAAATAGCAATTATTGTTAAACTACAGACAAAACAATTACTTTAAGTACTGAACAGCCTTCTTACTAAGAGTATCTAATCAAACAGCAAACTTTAAAGCGTTCCGTTCTTAACCTTTTCTAGTAGTCACTTCATTGTTCACAGTTGTATTTTTAAAGATCTGCTACCAAAATATGATATCATTTTTGATCATGCCAATATATATTTCCACAAAACACAACATTCTGGAATCATTAGCATCTCTGTGACTGAGCCAAAAGTGAATACATATAGAACAGAGTGCAGTGGGAGAAAAAAAAGGCTAAGGAGAAGGTTGCATTATGGCTGATCAAATTAGCTTTAAAGAGTGTCAATGGAAAATTTTATTATTTATTATTGCTAATAATATTGCTAGTCAATGCATTAATATGATCATTTGAAACAGTATGTTTCAAATGTCTGTGCATTTGAAGTTTCAACTTGTGCTTCTAGGATTAGTGTGGGGAAGGAGGGCTGCAGCATAAATGTTGAACAGTACCTTGTTTTGGCTATGGAACCTAGCTGCTGCTGTTCTTGGATGAGCTCAGCCAGCTGTTTTTGCAGAGACATATCTTTACCATGTACTTGTCTAATAAACGGATGCTCCAAAAGATGGGTGACTGAAGGACGCTTTTCAAAATCCTTGATAAGACACCTGTGACAAAGAAACAGCAGTCTCAGACAATGATGTTATTTCATTACAGCATGATTTGAGTCAGCTTACTGTGTGGCTGTTATTGTACAGTAGTTTCTTTTTCCCAAATTTGAGCTCCTCAGTATGCAACAAGACTCTTCCTCCACATTGAAATAAATCTGGCATAAAATACTTAATTAACTGAATTCACCCTACAAGTATACTGGTATAAAGGCTATGAATTTGAGCTTATTTAATCTCTCTTTTTAACTGCAACTAGCTTACTATGAAAAAAAGGCATAGTCTCTTGTAAGGTAACATATATTGAACATAACCTAAGATTAATAGACCATATTTCATTCACTTTCATTTTCTACCTATTCTCCAATGAGAGTTTGACTAAGAACTATGGGATATAACCTATCAAAAACCACAAGTGAAACCTCTGATACAACACTAGTCAGAACAATTTTATATAGAGCTTTGTTCTGTTTTTAAAATTAATGTTTCAGGTAGATCTTACATAATGCAATGATAAGTGTTAGCATAAGAATCATAGAAAATTCTGCAAACCTATGTAATTCAGACCGGATGAGAAATTAATGGGTCAGAATTAAATGCTAGTCAGGGTACCAAAGTTCAGTCTGTGATAGGAACAGGTGATCTAGTAATGAGTAAAGAGATACATCATATTAAATTAGCATAAAATAAAGTATCATGCTAATTTATATAATCGATATTTAAAATTGAGGAAGCCATCATTAAAGCTGAATTCTTTTCTGTACAATAAAGCTGAAATAATACAGTCCAAACAGAAGAATGATCTAACAGGATTAGACTGCTTTAAAGTACCCTCTAATTCTTTATATTAAAGTATTCTGTTTATCTTCTTGCTCAAATAATAATATTGACATTATTTGAGAATGTGAAAAGGAAGTGCTGCAATTCAGTATGTATCTCCCTTCTAGCAGCTATCATTTCAGTGAATTACAGCCCAAGATGAGTTTACCCGACAAGATGCATTCGCATTACATACTTCACAATTACATCTCATATTTGCTGATAATGATACACCTAAAGTACTTCCTTAGCAGGGCCAAATATCACAAATAAAGATAATATTTTTAGCCAAAAGTGAAACTTTAATACCTTTTAGAATAATTTATATGCTAGCAGTATCAATAACAATTTGCAAAATTTAAACTACATCTAAAAAAAAAAATCATATACATTAACTGATTTCAAATACTACCAAACACATTAGCAAATCGTTAAAGTTTAGCCTCACCTCAAACACTCTACAGAAGTCTAAAGTCTGGTCTTAAAATGATCCTGGAATATCTTTGAACATAACTTTAGTACTTTAGGTTCCTGAAAACCATTTTCCCAACCTCTTCTTGGTACATCTAGTCCAGAAAAGACAGTCTGTAAAATGTACTACCAGTTTTATAACTATTTTGGTGAATTTTGCTATAGGCTAGAACTGTAGCCTCCTGACAGAAAGACTAAAGTAACAGAACCTGCTTTATCTCCATCCCTCTGACTGCAAGGCTATAAATCCCAGTCCTCCCCCCCCATGAAGAGATCCATCATTAGCCTTCAACATCTTCTGACAACACCCCAAAAACCCCCACTTTTCCTTTTGTGATCCATGGTTTTTGAAAGTCAATACTCCCACACAGACAATACGGTCTGTGCCAATCCTGGTTAAATTTATATGTTTCCTGAGAAAGAGGAAAAAAGCACTTGAAAAGAAAGATAACATTAATCAAGAAGGCAGAGGAAAAAAAAACCCCAAAACCAACAAAAACGCTATGCAGTATACAAAGTCACTGATTGATGGCAAGTATCTGAAGTGGAGATTTCAGTCTGAAAAGCTCATACGCTCATGTTACTTTTACCATTCTAACAATAATTATAAATTTATAGTATTTATGTTATACTGTTAATATATTTTCTTGTTAAATTTGATTATATCCGGAATTTTTCAGTAATATAACTGAATACAAGTTAAGTTATGTCATAGAATCATAGAACAGTTTGGGTTGGAAGAGCCCTCTAAAGGCCATCTGGTCCAACCCCCTGCAGTGAGCAGGGACGTCTTCAACAAGATCAGGTTGCTCAGAGCCCCGTCCAGCCTGACTTTGAATGTTTCCAGGGATGGGGCTTCTACCACCTCTCCGGGCAGCCTGTGCCAGTGTTTCACCATCCTCATTGTAAAAAAGTCTTCCTGTATCTACTCTGAATCTACCCTCTTTTAGTTTAAAACCATTACTCCTTGTCGTATGGCAACAGGCCCTAATGTCATGGCAGTTATTTTTACATAATAGGAACATTAGAGTTTAAATGGATTCTCTTCAAGAAATCACAGAGACATAGACAGAATATCTTGTGTTTGCCAGAAGTCTGAAGAACATACAAATCTTTTACCTGGCAGTATGCAGTTATTAATATGAATTCTACTCTGAGCTCTGGAACAACACACCTCCAAAGACACTCTACGGACAAGATCCAGAAGCTGCAAGGGAAATTTTTCCATATAGAGAGCCACTAGGTGAAACATCCAAATGTCCAGGATGCTGCATTCATTAAAGAAGCCCAACAAGAAGAGACGGAAGGAAAACACTTTGGGGAAAAAAGTTCTTATCTTCTTCGTTATGTTCCTGAAATGCTAGCTGTTTAGGTTTGGCAGGTGTTTCAATAAGCATAGGTAAGTCCTGTCAGGGAAGGCAGTCCTGAAGACTGCCTTAGGATTACCTTTGTTTCTGTTGCATACTCCTGCCAATCCCCCACTGACTATTCACTCTGAATGTATGCTACTCTTCTGCTTTGCAACTATCACAGTTTATATATTGTTTTATCTACCTGCAGCCTTCATTCTCTGGTAGCACGATATTTTTGCAACCTGTAGTCACTTAGGATTTCACTTGAAACACAAGTAAAACTTCATGAATTCATAACATGACCAAGCTAATGCCACAAGACATGTTGACATGATTCTGTGATCAAAGTCTCTGTTCCAGGCTCAGATAGAGCACACCTACTATTGTGCCAAGTTTGTGCCTGTATCGGAAGAACAGAGCCCTTTCAGATGGTTAGTGAGATGCCACAGCAAAGCAGAGAGCTAGTAACTAACAGCCATGCAAGGGTGAGAGCTGCTTAAATTCACATCTGTAACTTTTTGTGTGAGTACTTCTACTCTAGTTCAGGAAAGGGACTGCCAGGAGAATGTATGTCTCCACTGAAGTTGGCTTAATCCCTCAAGTTAAACGGCAAGTTCCTAGCACATTAGGAACACAGCAGCAGAGAGACCAGGTAGGCCATAGGGAAGTGTGTATGGCATATACACTCTCCTTTTGCCCTGAAACAGAAGTGTTGACACAGTCACTTCTAGAAATTACTCCTTATTATGCTTCAAGTGCCAGTAACCGGCTTGCAGCTTAGTCACAGTAGGTACTGCAGGCTCAGTTTGTACTCTGATATTCAGTGCCAATTTGGTGTATCACCAGGAGTGCACGATGGAGTACTGTCGTGTGACACTGAAAATACAGTCCATGTGTTTCTCCTCTTGGTGCATATTCCTTTGTCCTAATTCCACTCTATGTAGACAAGACCTATTAATAGTCTGAGGTATATTTACATGCTCTGCTTCTACACACTGTTATTTCAACTGTGTTGCTTTTAGTGCCACTCTGAATGTGTGCTGCTGCTGCTCTTCTTAGTCAACACTACCTGTAAAATAACAATTCTTGGGCCACCACCTATGTGCTAGTGAAAAGTGATACATCAGACTGTCAGTGTCACTGCAGATGTTCAGTAAGGTATCATCTCCTACACTGAAAGCAGTATTGACACTACACAGCTCTTCAGAACAAAACAATTTAATATAGAACACCAGCTCTCATGATGCTAAAGCCCGCATGAAGGTGAGCGTTATCACAGTGTTTTGTATTGACCTGCACCATGAAATAGAACTATAATGTGTGAAAAAGTTCATCATATGGGTGCCTGAATCCAAACTTGACGGTATGTTCAGTCAGGAGATGTATTCCATGTAAATGCCAGAAAAAAAGAAATCAAGAATACACAAAAATCCAGCAATATTAACATTTGAAAGAGGAAGAGTACAGTAAGAAATAATGTCAATTCACAGAAATTATTCAATGCAGCCAACAGAAATCAGTGTATGCGATGTGCAAGTAAAAAACAATATTAAGAAGTCATACCACTGAAGGATTTGCTTCTGAGGAAAGGAGAAAACTGAAGTATCTTGGAGTGCTCATCTAAGCATTCGTTTAAGACCAATTTGGACCGTTAGCTTAAGCACTGTCAAACATCAACCATGCTGCAATTACATATAAAACCAACAAATGTGCTGTACCTGCAAATTAAGTCAATTTGTTTGGCCTGTAGAAATTATAAAAAAAAAAAAAGTGGTGAGACTGCCTTCCATTGAGCAAATTGAGAAGTAGATCTGCCACGCAATGGTTTTCATGTAAGGTATGACGAAAATATGATCATATTTGGTCTGCTATTTTTTGGATCTAAAATAATGGGAAGGCTAAGTAAGTAGAGACTGAAAAGGAAACAAATATTGTACATGTTTGCCTTGATGGAAGGCAATCCATTACCTAATTTGAAATTCTAGTATCTTCCATCACGCTTTCTTAGCTGAAAATTAATTCTCAGAATTCATTAGTGTCACTACATTAAACATAGGTCGCAGCCATTTGCTGCAATCTCACAGCCAGGCTCCTAAGCACCATTTCCATTCTGCCACAATTACAGGCAAAGATGAAGCATTTATTAGCAGGGGATAAAAGCAGACTCCCATACACACAGGACCGTCTGAGACAGTCTCTAAAAATTCACTGGCTGCTTGCACTTGGACGATAACATTGTTGGAATTGCTATGTCTCAACAATGTAAACTGCCATTTTGCAAGCAGCAAATCAGATGACTGAAAAGCAGAGATATTTATCAGCATTTGTGAGGTAATATTTACTAATGAATAAATGGAA